ATTTTTTTAAAAATAAAAAAAAAAACAAGCTTTGAAAAGAGTTTCAAATATTCACAAAGCATTAAGCCTCCAAACTGCAATCTCTAAATATCATTTCCCTGGATGGGGCCTCCTTAGAAAAATGACTGGTTCTGGAGGTAAGGCAAGAAACACACAAACAGGATGGAACTTACCACACCAGAAAACAAAGAAGCTATCAAAAACTTCTAGGATCATGCACACAGAGAGACACTATGAATAAAACCTCATTGGCCATATATGGGACAATTTATACATCAGTAAGAATAATTGCAATAGTGTAAAACATAAAATATGCTTTAATTCAAGAATTCATAATGATAACTTAAAACAACAAGCCCACTGGTTGTCTTTGGAACATGCTTGGGAACCAACTCTTTGGCTTTCTGAACCTCAGGATAAGTAAATAATAGTGATAGAAAGTTTTCTGTTATAGGATTCCAGCTGACAAATGAATGATATGACTATATGACTATATTATTGTTTTGCAACTTACTGAGTCATTGGGTCTAAGTGATGATTGTCAGTGGCTATTGATATCACAAAAAGAGACAGCCAATATGTACTTCTTGGTGGAAGGGTACAACACTTGTCTTCTGATAGCAAGTATTTCTTCAAATAAATTGAAGCTTTATAGAAATATAGGGGGACAGAGCAACAAGTTAAACAATACCTCAGAGATGCAGTTAGCAAAATGCAGGCTCTGGGACACACTACAGAATAAATTATCTGCTTTCTTCAAAACAAAACAAAAAACTGAAAGGGAAAAAAAAATATATGTAGGTGGCTGTACTTGAAGATATCAAAAGAAACTCAAGAGATTTTGTCATCTAATTTGAATGTATAGTCCTTACTTAGATCCCAGTTCAAAAAAACAACTATAAAATAATAATAGCGGTGAAAATAACTTATAAAAATCCAAAAACTAGTTATTTGATTTGATGCATTAGGGAGTTGTTAATTTGTGTTAAGGTGATAATGGTACTGTATGCGTTTTAAATCATTAACATCTGGAGATGCATACAGAAATATTTGTAAATTAAATGAAACACAGTTGGGAACTTATTAAAAATACATGGGGATATAAAAATTATACCTCAATTAAAAGCAATAACTAGGAATGAGGGGAAGTGTGTAGGGATGAAGACGAAATACATTGATCAGGCATTGATGCCTAATTAAGAAGCTGGTGGGTAAATCAGATTCATTAAACTATTCTCTTTACTTTGGTTAATGTTTGAAATTTACCATCATATATGAAAAAGCTCTAGGAGAGCAGTTAAACTATGTTACTTATCTGATGTGCCCCACAATGCTGGGTACATACTATGTTTTAGATGAATACTCATAAAATCATTAAAAGATTGCCATAAGATTTTTTAGTTATTGAGCATAACTCATATGGATTACCATATTTTATTATTCCATTAAAGTTATTGATTAGAACAAAAATGATCACAAAGATGTTCCAAAGAATAGGTCCAGTTTATTTGGTTAAAAAAAAAAATTGCATACATAATCCTTTTTTTTGAAATGTGAGACTGTCATCAAAATGTCATCAAAATGTCATCAAAATGTCACCATATTTTATTATTCCATTAAAGTTATTGATTAGAACAAAAATGATCACAAAGATGTTCCAAAGAATAGGTCCAGTTTATTTGGTTAAAAAAAAAATTGCATACATAATCCTTTTTATGAAATGTGAGACTGTCATCAAAATGTAGATGGTCATTAAGAATTTATCAAATGGTGGGGCACCCAGGTGGCTCAGTCAGTTAAGCGTCCCACCTCAACTCAGGTCATGATCTCACAGTTTGTGAGTTCGAGTCCCGCATCGGGCTGTGTGCTGAAAGCTTAGAGCCTGCTTCGAATTCTGTCTCCCTCTCTCTCTGCTCCTCCCCTGCTCATGCTCTCTCTCTCTCTCTCTCCTTCAAAAATAAATAAAAACATTTAAAAAAAATTTTTTAAAGAATTTATCAAATGGATGATTCTATGTTGAGTTCAATGACAAAAGTATCCCTTCATTTCTTTAACCTAAATCAAGATGAGCAGCTAACTTTGAGGTCCTTGGCCCAAGAAGGAGTAGGTGAGGAGTAACCTGCTTTTTCAGCTGCAGAATGCTTCTGGAAAGGATGCCGAAGAACACGCTGGAGAAGATGGACCTGGCAAACAATTGAAGCACATAGATGCACATTTTCTTCCTCAGGACCTATCAATTTTCTAAATTCCCAGAATGACAAGGTTAAATTGAAATTTCTTTAAAAATGTTTAAACACTGTATGTTGTATTAAAATTTCAACTATACTTGTTACTTAAAATTTCTGTCATTCCACAGAAAGTTCCTTTAAGTACTAGTTTTGTGTTAAAACAGGAGAACAAATATGTACCCTCTCAAAAAGACCATATATATATATATATATGTATATATATATATATATACATATATATATGTATATGTATATACATATATATATATATCCACACACACATATACACATACATACATATATCCTGATAATTCAGCAATTCTTTCACAGAATTAAGAGAATTATAATTTTCTAAAATATTTACAAAAGGAAAATAGTGTCAGTGGTTTGCAGTCTTTCCAAAGCAAGGGCATGGATTCCAACTCATGCCACTTCCTCATTTGCACTTTGACCCATGGTAATAAACTGAGGCATCAAAAAACACACCTCTTTCAACAATAATTCTAGGATTTAAATGTTTCTTCTCATCCAGTTATGAAATAAATAAGTCGTGGAGATGTAATGTATAGCATGGTGACTAAAGTTAACAATAATACAGTATAGCAGTTGCTAAGAGAGTAGATTGGAAAAGACTTCATCACAAGAAAAAAAAATGTGTAACTATGTATGGTGATGGATGTTAACTGGACTTACTGTGGTCATCATTTTACAGTATATACAAATATTGAATCATCATGTCGTACACCTGAAAGTAATATAATGTTATATGTCAACCATACTTCAGTTAAAATATATTTTTGGTGCATTTCCTTTGGTACTTTTGGTGCATATCATTTCCTTGGGTGTTAATAAAGGAATGCTTAGATCTATTGATAGAAAAAGGTGCATGATTGTCTATACTAAGAAAGTACCAAGAGATCGAATAGAGGGTATTACTGTATTACTAATATTTAATAGGAAGACAGCATCATCATCAATATAGTGCTTTTAGAGCCCCTCTCAACTTCCCCCAGGGTTCTTTCTATACATACACTTTTACCAAAGTTAGTCTTATTTATGCCTATTCTACTCTCACTTGCTGGCTAAAAATCTCCCTGAATACATCTTTATACTTCTTCACTGCACCTTGCATAGAGTAGATTCTCAAGAAGTGTGTTTGATGCAAACAGGTAAACACAAGTTGTGTGTGTAAACGGTTACCCATATAAAGGTTTAACAAAATCTTTTTCCTTTCCTGCATGAGAATTTAACCCTGAATTAACTGTCTGGCTCTGTTCCCCTGGTAACTTGATGAGGTGGTATGACAACTATGTCACCATATAACATTGCTTATGACTGACAAGTAGCATCTGGATGGGAGAACTGTAAATGCCTGACAGCGTGTTTTGGGCTTTCTCTAGTGTGGTGACTCGGTATAAGGCAGGCCGCTCATGGGGACACTGGAGACTATGCCTATGCAGTTGTTACAAGAGATACTGGTTTCTATGGAGCATGAAGCTTTTAAGCCAGGGCTATCCCTGCGTCTTCCCAGTGTGGACCTCGTCTGTGCACACCTGAGCTTCACTGTCGTGCCGGGCTACTGGCATGGACTGAACTCCTGCAAATGAGGAGGCGATGCTGCCCTGCTGGTAAGCCATTTCTGTCATCTTTTTATTTAGTTAGTTCTTTTTTAGTTTTTTTCTTTAATGTTTATTTATTTATATTGAGACAGGTAGAGAGAGAGTGTGCACATGAGTGGGGGAGGGGGGAGAAAGAGAGGGAGAGAGAGAATCCCAAGCAGGCTCCATGCTGTCAACGCAGAGCCCCACATGGGGCTCCATCTCATGAATCGTGAGATCATAACCTGAGCTGAAATCAAGAGTTGGCCCCTCAACCAACTGAGCCACCCAGGCGCCCCCTGTTGTCCATCTTTCTGAGCTGAGTGGGGCTCTGTGCGGATGGCTCAGAGCCTGGAGCCTGCTTCAGATTCTGCGTCTCCCTTTCTCTCTGCCCCTTCCCCGCTCGCGCTCTCTCTCTCTCAAAAACAAACACTGAAAAAAAGAGATTTTAAAATATTTTCTAAAATGAAAACCTAGATCTTTCAAGCTAATTGAACTACTGAAATATAAAGTTAATGCAAGTTCCAAATTAGAAATAGCAAAAATAGTTTCTAAGGCCAGCCCTGATCAGTTGGTAGTGACCATGCACACTCTGTGGAGAGAATGATTCTGAGGGAAAGAAGGCAGGAGCATCCATAACACCTACTCCAGTGCAGCACAGAGTGACAGCATGAACACCAAGGCCATCCCCCTCCCCCCTTTTTTTTAACTTTTTAAAATGTTTATTTTATTTTTTAGAGAGAGAGAGAGTGCAAGCAGGGGAGGGGTAGAGAGAGAAGGAGACATAGAATCCGAAGCAGGCTCCAGGCTCTGAGCTGTCAGCACAGAGCCCAATGCAGGGTTCGAACACATGAGCTGCAAGATCACAACCTGAGCTGAAGTCGGATGCTCAACTGACTGAACCACCCAGACACCCCAAGGCTGTTCCTCTTCTAAAAAAAAAAATAATTATGTACATTGCTTTGTAAATAACTGATTGTGAAGTATTTGAAGCATACAACAAAGTATGCAGAACAATACAATGAACACTTGTTATCCTCCACTCAGCTTTAGAAATCAAATACTTCCAATATGACTGGAGCCCAATAGGAGTCTCCTTCCCTAATGCAAATTTCTTCCTTGCCTCCAAGTAACCACAGTCCAAAAATGGTATTTATCATCTTTATTCATTTTGTTACTTTTGTTATACACACATGCATCCCTAAGTGACATACAATTCTGCATGTTTTGCACTGTATTTAAGTGGTAATAAGCATGTGGTATATATTCCTTTGCCCCTTGCTTGTTTTGCTTAACATTACATGTGGGATTCATCCATGCAGATGCACATAGATCCAGTTCATTTATCTTCACTGTTGTCAGTATGAATTTAAGTGGACCCACATTGCTAGTGCGTTGGACACCCGGTAGAAGCAAAAGTAATTCCCTCTAGGGAGATGCACCCTTAAATCAGGCTTCCCTGGATTCCACAGATTGAAATCCAAAACTCCAAAACATAAACAAGAAGCAGCAGCATCAAACCCTCAGTAGTTTAAGTAATATAGATTTATGATATAAATGAATCTTTAAAATTTTAAATCCATTAAAGAATGGATTTTTTTTAATTTAAATTTTTTTATTTTAAAAAATGAAACAATGATTTACTGATAAAGAGAGACCAGGCAACAAGAAGGAAAAGCTGGTAGTGGCAGTGGTCTAGTTTCACGTGTCTGCAAACAAAGTAAGTGTGCTTAAAATATGATACACTTAAAATTAGTAAATATAAACTCAGGAGACTCACACACCGTACCTCTGAAAAATCATTCCTTTCTGCTTTTCGCACTGCGGATTCTGCCATCCAGTTCCTCAGCACATACCTAGGATTAACAGCTTCAGAGGGAAAAGCGTGTTTTGGAACAATAAATTACTAAGTCCGCAAAGGCGATATGAAATCTCCCCCAAAATTAGATAAGCTTTAAGAACTTTGCTGGAAGGCACAAATGAGAAGCAAAGATCAGCATCAGTCAATTCTGATTGTTTATAAACAATGTACAGTGTCTATTATGGTACAGAAAACACTTTTTTGAGCGCTATGAGCAGTACTGGGTTTGGCTTTTCTCTTCAGTGGTTCATCATTACTTTGGGATTTTTGCACCATTTTCAGTTCACTGAGTATTTTTTTTTTTT